AACTGAAACAAGCAGAGCAAGACAGAAGCAACAACATGCATACATACATACCCAGTGAGAGCAAGACAGAAGTGAATAAAAGAATACACAAACTAATGAGGGAACCCAACAAAATCTACCGTCATACATTTATGCTCTTGCATGAAAACTAGAGCACCCAAACAAAGTAAAACTCCAGTGGTAAAGATACTGTTAGAGGCAGAATCAATAGAAGTTAAAAGTAAGTACACACCTTTACGGCATCTAGTAAAACCAACAATATTTGCGATACCGAGAGTCAAGCAAACTCCAACAACGAGAAGATAATCAGCTTGGAACCTAATGAGGGAGAATATCGCGAGAAAGAACCAAGCAACAGCCTACAACAAAGTACACGGATTAGCTGCAACACATCAACGGCTAACTATTTCACTTATGCAAAAATAAGGCACAGATAGAAATAAAATAAGTTCTACACCATATTCTAGAATATCTTTGAAGTCTGAATCCTGAAAAAGTAAAAGCTGAAAACAAAAATCGAGAAGCCAAGGTGTGAAGGGCCATTGTTCCTATCCACGCATATTTTGTTGTTTGTTGCCGATTTTTCTTGTTTTCTGATTGTACAGTACATGTGCTCAATTTGTTATGTTGAACATTAGAATAAGAAACAAGTGTGATAGAGTCTTCACTTACTGTTAGGTACAAAGTCCACCAAAACAGCCAGGAATCCTTCTTGTTCATGCGAGCCATTGACTGAAAGGAGAAGTGAAGGAAAAAGGTTTGTCCAAGGCAACAACGTTAATCATTAAGACTAAATAGGCAAGCACTTCTAAAATAAATGATCGTCTGAAGGTAAAGATGTATGCTAAGGAACCTGAAACAAGATTACCCACCTCTTGATCAAGGCACTCAAATCTCCACACACTCTCGCCATTGTCATCTATTTCATTCCACCACCTTAAACCCACAAGAATACGTCCACTGACGTTCTTAACCACCCAAAAGTCAAGAGCAGCTAAAAGAACAGTTACCACAAAGATGATAACAAAACTATCAACAAATAAAGCAGACAGAATATAAAACGCTAATGCTGCTGCCTGTCAATGCAAAGAAAATGTGTTAAATGAACACAATTACAACCTAAGACATTAAAATAAGAAGACTATGTAATCAGCTAGACCTTGAAGAGCACATGGAAAAAACATATCTGTGGGTGTGCATAGTCCTCCCCTGCAGGCTGAGAAAGAATGTGACAGTTTAATTAACTTTATGACAGAATCAATCAACAAACTCTATGTGCTCCCTCCTTTCCTTGCGGCAGAGAGTGTTTAGGGGTGTAAGGGGAAAGGACCAGCAAAGGTAGTAAAAGAGAGAAAACAAGAAAGGAAGATCATCTAAAATAAGTAACAGAGAAAAGTAAGATAACTGGAAGGCTACAAACTCCTCTAAGCTATAGAGTATTATGTATTAAAAGGTTAAACATTTTTATTTTTTTAAAAAGAACATTACCTTCGGGGATGTCAGATAAAAAATCCTGTTTTACCTGCATGCTTATCCTAGATCATATATCCCCCCCTTTTATCCAGATGATTGATACAAAAGGAATGAACTTAAAGATTACAACAATAACAACACAACTATCACTCAATCCCATGCTAGTTGAGATTGGCTATATGGATATATTTCCCTACATTAAGACCAGTTTCATTCCACTATTCAATAGTTTGGGATTATCTACCGCTAGAGTTCTCTAGATTTTCTACTAACATACGAATATATAAACAAGGTAAAAAGGGGTAAAAAAAAAACTACTATAATGTTTGAGCTAATGTAAGTGTACCAATATAATTAAGTTCTAATCCATGTTGCTCGGACTCTCCAAAATTGTTGCCCCACCTGTGTCGAATCCTCCAAGCCAACCCTACACACACCTGTCGACATTTTGAAGAGGCCGAGCAACATAGATTATAATTACAACTAGCCAGTATCTTCTATATGAATCCTTTACTTCTGTCATTTTCTCTCTAAAGTTCAGATGGATTTTGAGGAATTATACGTCTTTTGAAACAACTTTCATCCATGTGATTCTATCCTCTAAGGTAAGTGTGCTAAACTGCTAGTTGTACCTTATACTAAACCAAACTAAAACTTAACCACACCGATCATGTAACTGACATGATATAGTGGGACTGTGGTACTTACCTGACATCCAAAATTAATAGCACATTTCTAAAAATATAAATAAATAAATATAGGTATACAAAACAATCACCAAGCTCCATTCCCAAGCTAAAATGATTGGTTAACAAGTCTTCTACATCCATTTTACAATATTTGGGTCCAGTCCAAGTAAAAAATCTGTTCCTTGAAGCAAATTAGGATTTCAACATTTAGAAGATTTATCATATGATGATTTCTTTTACACTAGACATAAACCAACTGCACTCTACCTCCTGGATGTGAAATCCGTGCAATGCTCACATGGATTTGAGAATAGAACAAAGCAGGAATACTATGCCATTTCTCAAAAAGAGATGCAACTATATAAAATAGGCGATCAATGACAGCACTTAAAAAGCCATCTATAGATTCTCTATGCCTAATCATTTTGATCTTACTTGGTAAACAAGGGGATCAACATGAGGGAGTAATCGACTACTCGTCCCATATTAAACTCATCAATTGTGACTATGACTCCATAATTATCCTTAAGCCTAGCATCAACAAAACTAGCACATCAACACTTCTTACTAATTCAATTATTTCACCAAGATTTGCAGTAACAATTAATCCAACTAAAACAAATTTTACACCTACCTGATTATACAATTTACTAAAGCGGAAATTTTCAATTCCCAAAGACAGATCCGTAACACTTGATATGCAGTAGAAAAGTAATGGAAACAACGAGTAAATCAACAGATCAATTAAAAGAAGAAGGAGCTCAAACAAAACCCTAGCATCAATGCAACAAAAAAACAACAATTGTGAGATTTCAAAGTATCGATTTGATTGTACATTAGATGAAAAAATGAATCAAATAACGAAAAATATGAAGCTTACTGGGTTAAGATCCATGTCGAATTTTCAAATCAATTGTCCTTAGGATTTCGCCTGATCTCTCAAATGAAATTGTTTCGTAGAAATGAAAAATTGAGAAATTGTTTCCTAATTTTTAGATTTGGCATCCGGCAAACTTTTGGAATTCTAGAAATGTACCCAAGACTTCTTCTATTTAGGAAATGCCCCCAACAACTTTATTGTTCTTCCATTCTAGTCGATCAATTTTATCGAGGAAATAGTGGTTTCAACTTATAACACTACCAAACTTTAATTTATTAATTATAGGACCTAATATGAATTATATTTGATATAGATTATTTTGATTTGTTTGAAATTGAGACATAATTTGTCAAATGGTGATTCAATATTATGATTTGATATAGTAACTTTTAACTTTATAATAAATGTAAGGGAAAAGGCATAAATTCCCCCTTCAACTTATACCGAAAAGTCAGTTACACACTTCAACTATCATGACGACCTATTACACACCTTTACTACTTAAAAGTGAATTTATTTACTCCCTGAGACGTGTAATACCACTCTCACAGCATGTAGTGTATTACACTCGCTGCCACGTCATCATCATGTCAGTGCCACGTCAAATTTTATAATTTTTTCTATTATTTTTGTTTTCTTTTCTTTATTAATTAACTTTCTTTTTGTTAACTCTATTTTATACTAATTAATCTCTAATTAATTATTAAAATTCTCTAATAGTTGTATCTTTTTTATAATCCCACCCACTTTCTCTAATCTCATAGGAGAAATCATTCATTTGAATTTATACAAGAATTTTCTTTGTCTTCTCCAGCGAAGAACAACCAACCCATCACCACCATAAGTCCACCTCCACAACGCCATTTGTTCTTCTTTTTTGACGAACCATCAGCCACCAAACAACCACCACAAAACAGCCACTCAAAATCCAAATCAATCACCAACAAACACCAAACCAAACCCCCTTACCTTATCCCTTTGCGATTTTAATCTTTTGATTTGTTTTAAAGGTGCGTCGGCAAGCTCAAAGCTTCAGTCATGGCTCCGATGAAGTTCCAAAGAGCTCCATACTTTCAGATCTGAAAAACCAACAAATAATCTGGACAACCAACAACACCACTACTACACTCACGTCATTGTGAATCTTTAAGGTTGTGATGAAAAATAAAAAGTTGTGATGAAAATTAAAGAATGAAGAAGAAGAGGGTAATGGGTGGGGTGGAAGATTTTGACTTTTTAATTCTTTTTCTAAAGGGTAATGGGAGGGGAAAGGAAGATTTTGATTTTTTAAATTCTTTTTTTAACTTTAATTTTTTCTGACGCGCCAGTTTTTTATTTATTTTTTATTTTTTTGCCACGTCAGTTTTAGGGAGTAAATAAATTCACTTTTAAGTAGTAAAAGTGTGTAATAGGTCGTCATAATAGTTGAAGTGTGTAACTGACTTTTCGGTACAAGTTGAAGGGGGAATTTATGCCTTTTCCCCAGAGGCGTATCCAGAATTTTGAGATGATGGGTGCACTATTATAAAAAGATTAATCTATGATATAAATTTCATCGGTTCGACATTTAGGGTTTTACTACCGAAAACCATTAAAATTTTGAAATTATAGGTCTAAAATTAATTCTGATATATATATATATATATATATATATATATATTGATGAATTAATTAAAATGTCAAAAGTGCTACAAATTACCACTTAGAGAAGTGTTATCTAATTTTAGAAAGAAAAATAGAACAAGATAAATATAAAATTCATATTTCTAACCTCGTGGAGAGAGGTGCACCTAGTCATAATCGCATTATGTGATACTCCGAGTGTGGGTTCACACATCTATATTTCAATATTTTTTTAAAATACAACACTACTATATATGATCTCGGGAGGGGACCATGGGTTCACGTGAACCCGGTGACCTCCCCTTAGATACGCCTCTGCTTTTCCCTTATTAAAATAGACATAAAAAGGGAATATCATTTTCTGATAAAAACCATCACACTACACGCTGAATAAAAGCACACTTCACACAAGAAAGGGAAAGTAAGGATTGGGACTTATTTTTCCATAATTACAGTACCTTACTATTCCTAAAACAAGAAAAACGACAACCCATTTTGACAATTAAACTCAAAGCTTAATTAAAAGGCATAAGTAGACTTGTTCTTTTTTTATGCATGTGCATCATCTCCAACCCAAACAAGATCAGCTTGTGACATCCAATGACAAACCTCTCCTTTTCCAGGTGAAAAATTCAACTTTTTGAAAACTGGATGATCAGCTGGCCATGAAGAAGTATCCATATGACAAACAACCATAGCTGTATTAACATGAACATTAGTGTTTAAATCAACTAACTCCACCGCGTAAATATTAGTTGAAGATAGCAAATGACAAAAGTATGTAGCAAAAGGAAGGAATATCTCATGGCATGAGACACTCTTTTGGGAATTGATTTTATGAAATTTCTCAATTTTTAGTTTCTGTCCTGACCCCTGTATGCTATCTGTTGTCAATGAAATTAGGTGGTTTTGTTTCAAGGTAGTCTTTGAGAACTCTATCATTTCTTCTAAGGATTTTGCGCATGTTTTAACTTCTCCTTTTAGAGTAGGTGCATTGCAATTGAGGATGGTAGTTTTTGTGGTATCTTTTGTGAATGGTGAAGTGAAAGTTTGAGGGAATAAATGTTGGAGATGGTTTGAGTTAATGGAGATCTTTGATGCAATTTGAGAAGGAAGAAATGAGCGATGAGGGAACGGGTTCACTAAGTTGTCTAGATGGATTGTGTTTCCAGGTTTGAGGATAGAGACTCTGAAGAAAGAGACTTCTCCAAGATGATGACTATTAGAGTGTGAAGTTGCATAAATTTTTGATGTATACACCTTAGTTTGTTCTGGAAGATTAGTTGGATAGACCTTGGCTTGATCAGGGTTTCTGGTTGCATATAATATCTTAGAATCTAGATTGGGGATTTTGGATGTTTGGGCTACCTTAGAAGCTAGATTGGGGGTTTTGGTTGCGTAGAGTATCTTAGAATCTAGATTGGGGATTTTGGATGTCTGGGATACCTTAGAAGCTAGATCAGGGGTTCTGGTTGCGTAGAGTATCTTAGAATCTAGATTGGGGATTTTGGATGTCTGGGATACCTTAGAAGCTAGATCAGGGGTTCTGGTTGCGTAGAGTATCTTAGAATCTAGATTGGGGATTTTGGATGTCTGGGATACCTTAGAAGCTAGATCAGGGGTTCTGGTTGCGTAGAGTATCTTAGAATCTAGATTGGGGATTTTGGATGTCTGGGATGCCTTAGAAGCTAGATCAGGGGTTCTGGTTGCGTAGAGTATCTTAGAATCTAGATTGGGGATTTTGGATGTCTGAGATACCTTAGAAGCTAGATCAGGGGTTCTGGTTGTGTAGAGAATCTTAGAATCTAGATTGGGGATTTTGGTTGTGTAGACCTTAGCTTGATTAGGAATTTTGGAGGGATAAACTTTGGCTTGATTTGGGAGTTTGGAAGCATAGACTTTAGCTTGATCGGGGGTTCTGGTTGCGTAGAGAATCTTAGAATCTAGATTGGGAATTTTGGATGTTTCGGCATTAGTCTCAGAAGTACAAAATATATCAGCAAGCAAACAACTTTGCGCATCAAAAGAGAATGCCTTTTTGGACACTAATGAAGTGTAATATTTAGAGTCAATCATGTTCATTGGAGATAATTTAGAAACAAGAGCTTGAGGCATTTCATTGACAACATTTTCTTTCCAAAACTTGAGCTGATTAGAACCCACATATGGTATAGAATTACAAGTAGAAGAAGCAAATAAAGACAAGACACTTAACAAGAAAAACATGAACCAATATGAAGTAGCCATTTTTTTTTTTTGGAAGACTTGAATTAGTGTTTCTTGAGATATTTTTATCTTAAGAAACTTCCTTATTTATAATGTAAAAATCCCAGACATTTTGATATCAAGTTGCACTTAAATAATCATAAAGCTCTTCAAATTGTGTATATACTATACACAAGTAGAAGTCTCTATTTCATGCAAATGGCCAATTTAGAGGTTGGGACAAGACAATGGTGATAATGCTGCTGCTTGCATTATTAGCTAAAAAGAGAAAATAGTGATTAGACACTGTTGAAAAAGCGACTATACTATTACTAGTATCTTCTAGAGATGCATGCATTTGTGTTACCAACTTGAAAATGATTAAGTGAAAAGCCAATAGTGGATTATCCATAAGCCATGATAAAAAGGAGAAAAAAAAAAGAAAAAAAAAACTCTAATAAACTTTAAGCTACATCACTATTAAATTACTAGTCCTCCACGCTAAACTAAATATTTTAAGTTCAAGCTATTAGAAACGAGAAAAAAATCATGTTAGACACGTTCCCTTCAAAATGACTCCAACAGTGCGAATACAAATTTAATCCAATTCTAACTGAAAAACAAAAAAGAGAAGAAAATAGAAGTGTGTCCACCAGCAAATCAAAGAGATATATATTTAATTATGTGCTTTTCTTCCTTGTGAATTGTAAATTTGTTATGCGATTATTCATGATTTAATCTACTTCGCGTTATAAGAGAAAAATGGCATAAATAAGTATGATTTGTAATATTGAAACAAAGTGAATAATTATTTGGTACCATAAGTAAAAAAATGACGGTTGACATCCTTTGAGAGGGCGCAACATTGCAGTGACTTGCCAAAAAATAGTGATCAATTTTTAAAAGAATTAAAAAAATTTAAAAGGGTAAAGGGGTTTAAAGGAAAAAGGGAGTCACCACCTAATTTTTGAAAAAATATAAAATCAATTAACAAATTAACTTAAAATAAATGTCTACAAAACCAATTGATTCTAGGTAAGGTGTTCAAGTTATTCCGAAGGAAAGGGGGTTTGGCATCCTTCAAAATTTACAAATGTGGGTCCCGACTGAATTCATTTTTTTCAAATTGAGGAGGAGAATAAAATAATGTACAAGTATAATAAACATGCAATATACACAAGTAATATGATAAAACAACAATATAGGAATCGACCTAAATTTATCTATCGTCAATAATATACAATATTTAATAAGAGTATAATTCGAATAGCTTCAATGGAAAGCACCTCCGGATACCTATAAAAACACTTAGTAAAAGTGTTGGTAATAAATTAACATGAATAAAAATAAATTTATCAAAGAATAACTTAAAAATAAAAATCCGTCTAATTAACATGGAAGGCCTTGGAAATCGACAGTAATTTCTTCATTGGCCAATTTTAACATATAAATAATATAAACATGAACTAAATTTTCATCTTTTAAAATGAGGATGCTTCCAAAATCGACGAAGAAATTTTTTTCATTGGCTATTTTTAACAAACAAAATATATGAATTTAACCGAACAATGAAAATAACAAAGGACCCAAAGTGAACATGAAAATAGTCTTAACAAGTGGCTTTACTAATATTTTCCAAGTTAAAAACGAATAACACTAACCTAGTCACCTAAAGACTCATCACCACAATTAACTTGCTTAAGCAGAATAACAAATCTACAAAAAAAAAAGAACTCAATAACAAGAAGAGACAACTTCACTGGATTTAGCGTTCACTACTATACCAAAATATTAAAATAATGAAGAACAAAAACAAGTGTTAACTATAGCACAACATAGACAGAAACATAAAAAATATTAATCTACCAACAATTATTAACAATAATAAAATAATAACAGTTAAACCACAACCATGAATATTAAACAAAACAAAAATAAAAATAATAGAAAACTAATAACCACTCAATAGAAGCCATAAAATTTATCAAAAACATAACTTATAATAACTTAACATTCTGCAAGCTAAATCACCATGAAAAAATATAAATTAATTAGAAGATAATACTAAAATCAACCCCAATAATTTGAACAAGCAGTAAATGAACGCAATAAATAAACAATACTTACCTGAGAATCGGATCTGCTAATCACTGGAGATGGAAAATTTGACCGGAACGGGAACTCGGTGCTCGTTTGATGGAGGTCTGGGAGCCGGAAAAAATGGGGAGTGGAGATGGGGTTTTGTTCACCGGAGCGAAGCTTGCTTCGCTGATAACCTGCAAAACAAACAAAAAATTGAAAGGGGAAAAAGGGGAAGGGCTGCTGGTCGCAGCAGTGTTATTTCAGCTTGGAGCCAGCCGGAAAAATGGAACAGTAGAAGGGGTCCTTTGAGGTTGATGTTTTGGTGGGTTTCTGGTTGTGTTGGGTGTTTCCGGTGGAGAACAGTGGAGGGTGGTTTGGCGAAGGAATCTGGTGGTGTTGGGATGGTGGGTCGGAGCTTGAAGCTCATGCTGGTCTGGGATTTGGAGCTGGTTTTTGGTTGTCGTCTGGAGGTGTTTTCTGGTTGTGTTGGCTGGAAAACAGAGGGGGTTTTGGGGTTGGGTCTGGTAGCGTGAGGCAGTGTATGGATGGTTGTAGCTGGTCGTTGTTTGGTTGCTGGAAAACGAGGGCAAAGGAACAAGAAGAGATGAAGGTGGAGGTGGTTCTGGTTGGCCGGAGCTTCACCGGAAAATATGAGGTGTTCTAGTTTATGTCCTGGTGGTGGTGGACCAGATGGAAAATATAAAAATCTGAAAATAAATAATTTTTACCACCACCCCTTTAACCTAATAGGTAAACTATTTTTTATATAAGGAGTCGAAAATTACAATATAACTATTTTAAAATAGTGTGTCAAAATCACCAGTCAATAAAATATATGTGTATGAAATATTATTTATATCAGAATGAATTTTTGGATTGTGCAAAATATCAAAATGAATATTAACAAATGTAACAGATAAAATAAATATTAAAAAATGTAACGAACATAACCAATGACATGTAAAAAATACAATTTAACAGAAATAATGATTTAATCAAAATAAACAAATACTTGAACGTATTCAACTGGTTGTGACAAAATAATATAAATAAAATTAATCGATAAAAATTCTAATACTTTGAGAATAGATATCAACAAATTGCACTAAAATTGCAAAACATGTATTTTGAACTATTTTAAAATTAAAATACTTAAAAGTATAAACTTTTAAAATATCAGACCAAAATTTAATGTCAATAATGACCTGATAATATAAAATTTATTTACACGACTGTAAGCGTCTAAAGTTTTAATCCTGAAATACAGTAAACAGGAAAAGAAAAATAGCAAACAAACAATAATATTTGTATTTGAATTAATGCGAAAGTTACAATCTTTATAAAATCTCTTAAAAAGATATGTAATCCCATGATTCTTCTCTCCACCGATGTTCTTGATTTGGCAGAATACTTGCGGCTCAATACTTGGAACGAAGACTTCTTGTATGCGGAAGACTTGCAGATCACCAATGAAAAGCAACTATGTATTTCTGTGTGTATGTATGTGTGTATCTCCCCTTTGGTCTTATGAAGACCTCTTTATATAGGCTTGAGCTAGGACTTTAGGGGTATTTTGGTTCAAGCAATTTTGACCCCTGGGCCTGAAGGATATGAGTTGGGCTCATCTTGTCAATTTAATGGACTGACTCAAATGTTATTTGGACTTGATTTAAGTCATATAATTCTGACATAAATATTAATCCGACTTTATTAACCAATAATTTGACTTGGTCAACGTATCGTGAATTTAAGTAAAATTGGATATTTTTTATTAATTTGAGATATTTCATTTGAGGGACATATTTATTAAGTTTTATAAATGTGGGGATAGAATTGACTAAATAAAAAGCTCATAGAGGATGAACAAAAAAAAAAAGAAAACAAATGCCCTCACGCAGGATCGAACTACGGACCTTCAGTTTACAAGACTGACGCTCTACCACTGAGCTATAAGGGCTATGTTTGATAAAGGTATGTAACAAGTTGTAATAAATATTCTCAAAAAATATTTAAAGGTTTGTTTATAAAATCCTATGAATCATAGTATTAGAAAATTTGTTTGGTGTTACACAAATTGCTCTCGAGGTGATTTTTTTAATTTGCTTTTTATGTATTTCGTTCTTTGATACTTGTGAATTTTGTATAAGAAAACTGTATGGTCCTTGCATTCAAGGGTGTGATTTAGTAGCCAATGAAGTGGTTGAGCTCTCAAGTTCAAAACTTAGTATCGAATTAATCGAGGTGTGTAAAAATCAATCCAAACACCACAGTCATAAAAGATATCACATTAATTCTCACATATAGCATTTGCAATCAATTCTTTTTTTTTTCTTTTATAGAGTTAATGAAACTATACCTTAAAAGGTTAAAAAATATTTTTATTCAATTTTTTAGTACTTTCTTTTAAAAAAAAGTTCTTAGTTGGACCCAACAAATTCATTTCTCACTGTGCTACTTTAATTGTGAGTGTGTTTGTATGAAAACTTTGAAGAAGAGTTGTCGCATTTTTTAGGAAAAAACTGTTTTTGAATCAATACACATGAAATAAGAGAACATTCCAATTAGATTAATATTATTTTTTATCCAATAATCAATGATAAGTTGATTTTGATTCTTTTTATATTTTTTTAAAAATATCTAATATTGGAGTCAATGGATCAACAACCAACTAAATTAATTTATATTTTTAATTGACATTGTACAAACTTATTGCAGTAATTATCAACTATTTAAACTCTACTCAAAATAAAAACAGTTGCAATAGAATCTGACAAAAAAAAATACTTAAAATTAAATATTCAAGTGATGAATAGGTAGTTAGCAAATTGCAAATAAATAAAATAAACGAATTAAAAATAAAAATAAAAGTGTTTCAATGGAGCAAAAGGGCAAGAAGATTAGGGTTCTTTTAAAAGCAGTTTTTGGGTTTGAGGGCTCTACACCAGTGAGCTACTACACAAGGACAAAATGGCAGCTATTCA